AAAAAAAAAAAAGGCTTCATCTGGATAACATAAACCCGGGATTGTCATCCATGAATTAATCTTTTGATCTTTCTGCAGTGTTGCAAATGGTTTGTTTACTTTAGCAACAGCAGCCAGTGCTGCCGCCACAGCCAGCACCATGCCACTGTTTTCAAACCAAGAATACCTTATGCTTGAAAGTGTTAATCTTCTCTCTGAACAGCCAACCTGTCAAGTGCGGTGATGTTTGTGGTCCACTAGAGCTGAACGCTACTCCACCTCATTAGCACAGATCTGTTCATATAGCAAAATTGTAAGAGATAGTACATTTTAAATAATGCATGTTTAAACTTAATTAAGCCATGTTAACCAGCACGTCCAGAAAATCTCTTTTAAACATTCATTTTTAAAATTTAGACACAATTATAATTCCATTATGCAAGAATGAAGCATTATATACCAGAAAGCTGGTAACTGCTTTATGTAAAGAATGAGAATCATAATCAAACATTTAAAATGGTTCTTGTTTGGAGACAGTGTCTCAGTGTACAGCTCAGGCTGGCCTCTATCCTATGATTCTCCAGCCTCAGGCTGTGAGTGCTGGAGCTCTAGGCATGCATCGTTTTGTCTGGTATAACAGGATTTTGTTTTTTAGTTTAAGTATATTAAATTTTACCGACTCAGCATTTAAGATGAGTCGTTTGGTTCCTGTCTAAGCGTCACTTCCTCCAAGGCGGTCTTTTGCACACACTCTTCTCCATATTAGAAACGAGAAGATGGAGAGCAGAGATGCTAAGTTATTATTAAGTCCGTGGTTTTGCTCTCTGACCTCTGCTTGGCATTCACCTTTCTGATCATTTTATATCTGGACGGGTCCCCACATCGTACCAGCTTATTTCTTCTGCCTTTGACTTGCTCTCTCCTTAGGGCACTCTGCTCTGTCTTTAGACACAGAGACTTGCACTGCTCATCAGTAGTCTTTATGGTTGATGTGGTCACACCTTTCTACTTTCCCTCCTCTCTTCTCATCACATGGTTCTGTCAACCGTGTCACTAAATGTCACATTCATGCATGTAGCTGTCAACTGAAGTCTGTCTTCCCAGGTAGTCTTAAAGTTCTATACCAGCAGGGAGAGTGTGGCAGTCACCACAGAAGCCTAAGAGCAGAAAGGAAGTGACTGTGCATTAATGACAGATCATGAAATTTAGGCGTTCATCAAGAAGCAGGTATAACAGCAGGTATAACTTTTCTCCTTTCCCAGAATGCACCAGCTCATCAGAAACTGCTGTCGGCTGTGCTTAGACCTCCCAGACTTGTCTTCTAGCCAAATCTTTGCATCATTAAATCTTTGTTGCCTCAGAGTAATTTCTTTTATCTGTGTTGTCTCTCTGTATTTCATCACCTCGAATTTATCGTTTGAACTTGAGCTTCCTTTCAAATCTATCATTAAGTAGGAGAGAAACAAAACAAAATTATAACGCATGTGCTCTGATCATATTTTGTAAGCCCTATGCCGTGTGATTCCTGCAAAAGCCTTGCAACGTGGCTGTGTCTTGTCTCTAATTTATATTCTATAATGAATTCCCACTTCATCCAGTGGCCACAGGACCTAAGTGGATTACTCCTCATAAAAGGATTCTTCAAATACTGCCAGGCCCACAGTAAGCACTCAATAAATGTAAATTATTATTGTAATTACAGGAAATTGAGATTTATAGGCATTAAACAGAAAAATTTACCTTGTAAATTAATTCCACTGTCACCAAAAGTGTGTCTCACAGGAAAAGATTCCTTATCTACCTTTGACATTCTAATAGGACGTTATGTCATGTACCATTACATAAGTAACTGGCTGTGCTCTGAAGTATGTAGAATGAGTGACACTCAATAAGATAAGGGGAGATATCCTGTCCAAATGCCCTGCATGTATTTGGCAGAGACAAGCTAGAGACTGAGAACAGGTAAGAAAGGGTCTGTCCATCTATCGAGGAGACACTACAACACCATTTCCTAATTCTGTAGGTGATTCCAGCCAAGACTAATTCTACTGATGTTTGTCAAAAGTATTTTTCTCTACCAGTTGGGGAACTGAGAGGGCTTAGACCCAGCATAAGGATGAATTCTTTGAATCTGACTGTTAGCCAATTGATTAACAATATACTTTAGCTCTGTGTACCTGGAGGGTTTAATCTAGTTGGCCGGGAACCACCAAGGGGTTCTAAGATGTTAGTGGACCTGGAATAGGGAGGCTACAAATAAAAACAAACAAAACCACAACAAAATAGAACAAGTGACAGCCACTGGCCGCAGAGGTCATTTGTCCCTTCTCAGAACTTCAGCTTCAATGGTGTTAGCTATGTTACACAGTCTGTATGGCCAGGCTGCTCTCTGCACAGGTCTGAGCAGGGTTCTCTGTGCCTTGAGGGATGGGTGTCTTTACACACTGCAGAGTGTTGTTGAGGACAGGCTCTGTCCAGTGCCCCCTCTCTACGCTGTTCCTCCTTTCCCACAGGATGTCAGTGAAACTGGGCCAAGGCTCCTTTTTCTAACCTTTTCTTTAATGTGACCGTCTCTGCAATGGTGTCTGTCTCACAATAAGGGTCACGCTGTGAATCACTTGGTGTTAGAACTTCACTAAATCTGTGAATTGCAGAATTTAACCCATATGACCATTCTCTAGTTTCCCTCAAAGTCACCTGTCTTTTACCCGTGCATAATTCACTCCTTCCCTCCCACTACCTGCAGAAGTCTCAACCACCATAGCGTCCATTGTAAGTACAAACACAGCATTTCAACACCGAGGCAAGACTCAAGACATGGTTCTTCATGGGACCGAATTCCTCTGCAGCTGCAAACCCAGGGTGCCAGACGATGGGTTTTCTGTTTCTAAAATGTAGTGATGAAAAAAATAAAATAGAACTCAGGGGCCAATGCCTTATGACAAACCGTCTGTAGCTACTGGCACCATTTCTTTGGAGAACAGCGACTACTATAAATGGTGAATTAATTAATTTGTTTTAAGGCCTTTTCAAATACATTTAATAAACCTAGATAAAGTTTATTAAGCAGTTTAATTTAACAGAAAAGCTGAGTTAATTATTTGTTTAAAATTAATGTATAATTGTCACTTCAAAGCCATTTTTTAAAAGAGACTGATAAACAGCAGCATGAAGATTGAATGTGTGAAGTTTGTACGTGGATAGTGACTGGCATGCGCCTGTTCTCAGTGAGGACGGGTAGTTCCCCTACAGCACTTGACAGGGCTCTCAGCACACGACACACGCTTCATCTTCTCAAGCTCCCTAAGCACAGGTGTGGGAACTTTGAGATCACTTTTCAAACATGGCTTAAGAAAGAAACCCATTTTCAAGTTGAAAGTAAATGGCGTTGGGAATTTGGAGAGCTGGGACGATTAACGCGTGTTGTAGGTCTATGTTTGGATAATGGGAAGCAGCATTACATTCAGTTCTTTACAGGGCTAGATAGGTAATGTAAGACACAGTGGCAGGAGGAAATGAAGGAAAGGTATGTCTTAGACTTTATTAGGTGAGCATAAAGCATACACTTTACACCTAAGGCATGATTCTCGTACACGAAGGGTTGAATGTTGTTTCACAGAACACCTTTTGTCTTCTAAAAGAGTTTTTGGAAGATGATACATGTCTGAGGACTATGTAGTCCACTAGGCTGTATGTCATCATGGGTTAGGGGGAAAAGCCTTTACACACATTTTATTTCATTTTTAATGAAAATCATAAATTATCTTTGGTATGAAGCTGTGTGTATCCCAAAGTAGGGGTGGCAACGAGGCACTTAGTCTCTGTTGCAGGGGGGTGTGGTGAGGGACAGGCTGTGATGCTGCAGGGGTGTGTGGTGAGGGACAGGCTGTGATGCTGCAGGGGTGTGTGGTGAGGGACAGGCTGTGATGCTGCAGAGGTGTGTGGTGAGGGA